TTAAATTAAATTAAAAAAATTGTTAATTCGGGATGGAAGTAGTATACTTATCAATAATGTTTTAGATGTTATATTACTTAGAAAATAATTACAAATATTAGAGACATAATTAATAATCTTATATAATATAAATAATATTAAAATAACTTTAAATTACATATTTAAAGTGACCATTTCTTTTAAAAAATAAAATAGAAAAATTATTAATTTGGGCGGAAGTAGTAACTTGTTGATAATATATTTTTTAAATGTTATGTTACATTAGAAAATAATTACAAATGATAGTAATATAATAGAAATAATATTATAATAATCAAAAAGTAAAATAGAGAGGTGAATAGTAGTTCTCCAAATTTGTAGAACTACTATTCACCTCTCTATAATTGAAGAATAGAGAGTGAAATAGAGAGTGGGTGGAGAACCCATTCTCTATTTTACTCTCCAAATATAGAGAATGGAGAGTAAAATAGAGATGGGTTGGAGATGGTCTTAGTAATACATATATATATATAGATAGATGGTTCACGAGGTCTATCTTTGTAATTATGCAAAGCTTAACTGTCATTCTCCCATTACTCAAGTCATCCAAATTTAGTACTACTTGTAGACATTCAAATTTTGTGAGACTCTACAAGACGTGTTTAATTTGAGTTGGGACTCTACAAGGTGTGTTTAATTTCAATTAGAATTCTTGGACGCTACTTAACCCTAAACCCTAATTCACGTATATATAAAGGGTACGAAATTCCCTTAAACGGCATCTCAAATATCCCATAAACCCTTGAATATTTTTAAAGATCAAGATCTCGAATATTTCGCAAATTGATGGAATATTCATATAGTGGTTAAATCTAAATCATCCTAATTCGAGAAATACGCCATTAATGGCCCTCGAATTATGGATAAATCTTATGGAAGGAGAATCAAGAGAGGAACAGAATTGTACCCGCAATCTTAATAAATAAAATATTATGTTTCTTCATAAATATTTTTGTGATTATAATTTATTTTCTGTCACTTTAAAATTTATTGCAAACAGTACTATTCAATAAAAAATTACAGAAACAAATTAGTATTATTTTAAGAGATGGATGCTATGCTTTGAGAGGAGTGTTTCAGCTAGGGCGGTTTCTTGTTAATCTAGTCTAGCTAACATTAACACTGTGAACTGTGGCTGACAATTTGTTACCAATCTCGATGTCTCCGCTTTGTCCTTGGCCTCTCTTCACTTATATTGGCATCCAATGTAATTTGATTTCTAAGTAATAAATAATTGTTGTTTGGACTCTTTAAAAATAATGTCGCATCCGTATTAGATTTTTAAAAAATATACTAATTTTAAAAAAATCAAATATGCACCCGTCGATATTTTTGAAAGTCCAAGCAATGATCTTGAACTATATATTCATTTATGAGTATTTAATTTTTAAATAAGTAGTGCATTGTTTGATGTTCATAATAAACTTTACATAACTACTACTAATATGTTTGATTTTCCCATAACTGATGAGAAAATAATAAAATTAATTTATATTTTACCTTTTTAGCAATTGCATATCATCAAAGTCGTTGTAGTATAGTGGTAAGTATTCCCGCCTGTCACGCGGGTGACCCGGGTTCGATCCCCGGCAGCGGCGAAATTTTTTGTGGGCTTTTCTTTGGTAACGAAAAAACTCATATTGGGCTTCTTCCATTATGGGCTATTAGGAGATCAACCCGAATCCAATTGATTTTGGCCCTAATTTCAAATTTCGCACAAGTTACTATTTTTTTTTCTTCAGCCAAGTTCTGACCATTCTTCCCGTTCACTCTCCCTCCGGCGAATTTTCACTCTCTTTGTTCTTTGCGATCAAGTTGTAAGCTTTCTATCTCTCTTTCTTTTCTATTTTTGGATTGTTGAAATTAGATTTTTGAGTATTACAAGGTGGAGAATCGAACCTTACATATGTGAAAATTCAAATAGTCAACATCCCGCTCTCTCTATCTCTTTATTCCAATGATTATAATGATAAAAGTATGAATTAGGGATATTGTTTTCTTTCTTATCCATTTTATTTGCTTCTCGTGTAACTAATTGTTCCATAGTTGTGATAGTGTACTAATTCTCACATTTTGGGAAGATGTAAAGGAAACGAAAGGATGGTATAGTGCATTCCGTTTCAACTAATAAAAATGATCAAGTATGTGCCCTGGACTAATCTATACAATAAGGTTAGGATAGATGGAATCACCTAGTGTTTTTCTCTACGTTGGGATTTGAAATTGAGATTCATTGTTCTGAACCCACTTCATTGACCACTAGGCCACACCCTTAGATGCGCATTTTTGATCTTTTTCAAACACAATTCACGTCTTGACCGGCTCAAATCTTATAGTAATTGAATTGCTTGGAAAACTTTATCATTGATCTCTTTATTATTATTATTATTATTATATATAATATGCAATAATTTGTATTGGTCTTTGTGTTTCTTACAAGTTAATATACGTTTTGGTGATCTCAAGAGTATGGTTGAATGGTTGAGGAATAGGAGTAGTAAGTAGTGGTAACCTGGAGATCTTAGGTTCAAATCAAAGCTACACTACTTAGGGTGATCCCATTTTCCCTAACCTTGGTGAATAGATTTTGCCTGCATTGTGCTTGTGGACTATTACAGACACACAAGTTGGTTGAAGCATTACTGTCATTTTTTTTTGAAAAAAAAAATCAATATGCATTCCATTTGCTTCTGTGCCTTTTTTATTTTAAAAGAGAAGTATAGGAATGAAGGTGAAACAGTAATATAGTGTATGGAGTGTTTTGTGCCTATTTTTCAAATCTTCAGTAAGCGAATGGTTTAAAGTTGATGTAGGAAAGGAAAAAAAGCTGATCCAGTTCATTATATTGGTAAATATTTCCATTTCAGAAAATTAGTATTCATTTCTTATTCTGTTCACTTTAATGAGTTCTGCTGTACAAGGCATGGATTGAATCATAAATTATGTACCTATCACCTTTTCCTATTCATGATTGTGGATTTACAGTTTCTCAAATGGATCCAGAAGCTGCACGGAACGCACGGGATTCACTCGATCTGGTATTTCATATGTCAAACATTCTTGACACTGGGCTTGATCGTCACAGTTTATCCGTTCTGATTGCACTCTCTGAACTGGGTTTCAATCCTGAGGCCTTGGCTGCTGTAGTTAAGGAGTTTCGTAGAGAAACACCGGCTTCTTCTTCTGTCCAATCATCCGCTCCATCAGCACCTTAGGCCGATTAATTTTGAATCCCGTTGATTGCTGAAATTTGATGGAACAATCTCAGAAGGAGCTCTTTCTTAACCCTTTTATTCTTCCCTGTCGATTGATATGTTAGTGGTTTGTTCTCTTATCCAACTTTAGCTATCATCTTCTACTTTGTTGGGTGTTCTAGTATTGCCTCCATACGTTATAAGCAAGTACTTATCGAGGAATAGTTTTAATGGAGCTCAAAAGGATGCTTTTACTAGCTGCTGATTGATTATTTCCTGAGGTGCATTCATTCCAATGCAACCCTGAATGACCAACTAAATCATTAGTCACACAACCATTGAGCAATTGTAACCAATTTCGCTGCTTGCATTCCATAGTGCTTTTATCCTATCAGAGTGGCTTCCCTTTTTTGTTGAAGAACTATTGAGTTGTTGAATAAACTTGGTCAGCAAATGATTTTTCTGTTAGTGCATCCTATGTCAATTTTATTGTCTTACATACAGAAAAGGTAAGATTTTCTGTGGAAAACAGTTCCATTTATTTGAAATGTCTTTGCCTACAGCCTACATTAATGTATCAAGATACTAGAATTTTCTGTATGACATGATATCTAGTATCTGATCTAACAATGGGGATGCACTCCAAAGAATGTTGGCTTTTCATCCCATCTTTTGTGTGGTTATATCTGCTTTTCATTTGTGGAATCATTACATTTCTTCTCTCAAAATACTGATTTGTTTCTGTAACTGATGTCACTCAAGAGTCAAGACAGAAACAAGTCCTCCAAGTTAGTTGAGTCCTAGCAAGTATGATCTTTTCTTCAAATGGAGAATTCTTGAGGCACAACTCACAAGGTGAAGGGGAGCATTAGCACCTAAGTGTGGCCTAGTAGTCAATGTAGTGGGTTAAGAATCATGAGGTTTCAAGTTTAAATTTAGCAGAAACAAAAAGCACTAGACAGAGTCAAAATTGTTGTACAGTACCATGTATTTTTTTGTTTTTTTTCTCTCCCTATTCTATTGACTATCTTTATTTTACAGTTGTGTTACCCAACGAATCGGGATGGAATCGATGCTACTTACTACTAAATACTTAATAAATAAATTATTCTGGTCACTCTGCTTACTCCAACCTCTCGTAAATTAATTATACCTAAACGAATCATGAATGGAATAACGTACGATATACGTGGTCTTCAGATTGGATCAAGAACAATATCAGAAAGAAAGAGGAAACTAAGACTATCAAACTAGTCTAAAAAATTGTTAATTCAACCAGGTCTAGCAAACTAAAGCTAACCATCCACCAGAGTTGTATCAAGATTTATCGTATGTTTCATTTTATATGGTAAATACTGTTTTCTCCTGGTCACAAATCTCACAAGTTATAAGGATACTTTTGGTACAAACTTTCTCCACGTAATTAACTTGCAGGTAAAATGGAAGGAGTATATATTTAACTCATTTTTAATTAGTGAAGTGATGAGTCGAATTATTTTATCAGTTCATTTCGACCCGACCCGAAAAAATATGGAGCACTAATGCATTACTATTTGTGGTAGCGCTTACGCAGGCTGGAGAGAATGAGATGCCTAGTAGGCAGTAGCTAACTTTAGCAGCCTCCACGTGTGTTGGTGTTATGAATATGTTGTCACTATCTATCTCTGTTTGAAACAATTCTAATAAAACTGCAATTGACAGAAGAAGGATCGGTATTGTTCTTTAGTTGCAAGCACAAACCTTTTGTTTTTTCAGCAGCAGAAGAATATATAATCATGGGTAAATTTTTGACTGTCATGACTCACCTTCATACTCTTGCCGGGTAAATATTTTACTACTTTTTATTTGCATTTCCTCTTTCTCCTTAAACTTCCTTCTGATTTAATATCATATGCAGGCCATCCGTGATGTTGCTCTATCCTCTGTAAGTATACTTAATTTGTTTCGTTTCATTGTTTGAATTTCGAGAGAAAAATCTTTTACCTTCAAAAACCAAACCCTATAAGATTGTATGTTCAAATTTATGGACAAAATTTCTTAGTTTGACTCTCGGAATCTGAACTGTGCCATAGAAATTGGGATGGGTAGAGGGAGTAATGCATTTAAACCACCTTAATTATTTCAGTTTTCCGTGAAATGTTTGATATTTTGTTTTGTGATGATGAAAGATATGCATCAGTAGTGGCTATAGAGAGCACATCTAAGTTGGATGATGAGCAATGGCTTGCTTACTGGATTCTCTATTCTTTTCTCACTCTTATGGAGATGCTCCTTCAACCCATGCTTCAATGGTAAGTAACATCCCTTTCTTAGTTCCCCTGCCTTTTTTTCTTAAGATAGCTAAGAAAACGAAGTAGTATTACTAGGACTCTATCAAAACTAGTTGACAGCCACCTTGTAATTAAATTTGAGTTAGTTACATAGTTAAAAAAAAAGTGTGTTTGTATAGCCAATTGCCTAGGAAGTAGTTGATCAGCATGAATTAAAGTTAATTGATACCACTTGTTACTCTGTAATTGTTTGCCCATGTACGTTACATTGCGACTTTACACAGCTAAATAATTACACAGAAATGAAAAAAAGAAGTTGCACAGGAAATGATTGTACCATAACTATTAATGCGTTCACATATAATGGGTAGCAGTTACTGAATAATTTCCAAACATACCCTAATAGAGAGACGAACAACCACAATAACTGATATGTTGTTCCCCATAGAACCAGAGACGAACCCAGGATTTGAGGACTTCGGGTGCACCAATATTACTTTAGTCCTCAAATATGAGGACTTCGGGTGCTCCAAAGTTAATGCGTGCACGTAGAAGGGTGGGTCCGCCTCTGCATAGAACCAAGGAGACCCGGGGTGGATAGAGAATATGATCTTCAATTAGTTTTCGAAAAGTATATATAATCTTAATTCAATTTTTATGTACTTGGTTTGTAGGATACCTATTTGGTATGATTTGAAGCTAGCACTGGTAGCATGGCTGGTTCTTCCCCAGTTCAGGGGAGCTGCTTTTATCTATGAAAAGTTTGTTAGGGAAAAACTCATCACCAAATATGGAGCTCGATATTTCAGAGACAAATCTTCTCCTCCCAAGGTGATTTAATCATCTCTTTTGTTAATTGAACCGATCATGGCCAGTTATTGGTCTATTAGTTATTGATTTATATATCATGCCCACCTATATATGTTGATTTGTTTATAGTTAATGTAGGTCACAAACTTGAAATGAATAGATTTTATCTGATGCTAACACACAATGGAGATTCTTAAAAATATTGCAACTCTCAAATGCCAAAGAATACATTGTATCGCGATTTCATGTGCCATTTTTTGAGAGAATATATCCCAGGAAGAGTGTAGTAATTTATTTGAATGTTTTTTTGGGACAGGTGAGCGTGAAACCCAGTGAAGATTGGACTGATTGAGGAGGCGGATTTATGTGAAAGCGTTGCATTCTAATCAGCGAAAGAACACTATATCTGTAATAATACTAACAGAATATGAATTGGTGAAGATCTTAATGTGAATGTTATATCGCCACTTCAAACAATATGTAATACTAATAATCGTTTGCTTATCGATGAGAGTTGTTAATTATTTTAGTTTGATGCATGTATGGAATTAGTGCTTGACGTCTGTTAATTGTAGTGTTCTCAAAGTAAGTAGAGTTTTTGTAATCCTCCGTCCTACCATTCTAACACGCTAGATCATGTAGATCAACGATTTGAAATCATCCATCGCTTTAATGTCCTACAAGTGATGGATAATTGTTAAATTAGGTCTTAGGCCTAACTCACACCCCAAAAGCTAGCTCAAAGGGAGGAGTATTGCCCAAGCCTTATAAGGAGTTCACCCATCTCATTAACCACCGATGTGAGACTTTTGTCATACTAACACCCCACCTCACGCCCAGTGCTTAGCATCTAGTGCGTGGGCAATTTTGATTTTGGGGGCCCCAACATCGGGTGAGACGGGCCCTGCTCTGATACCATGTTAAATTAGGTCTTAGGCCTAACTCACACCCCAAAAGCTAGCTCAAAGGAAGGAGGATTGCCCAAGCCTTATAAGGAGTCCACCCATCTCATTAACCACCGATGTGGGACTTTTGTCATTCTTTAACACCCCACCTCACGCCCAGTGCTTAGCATCTAGTGCGTGGGCAATTTTGATTTTGGGGGCCCCAACATCGGGTGAGACGGGCCCTGCTCTGATACCATGAAGGTAAAACGAAAGAGCTCAATCAGAGCAACAATGAGAGCTCCATGAGCATCTCAGATATTTTGTATTAAGAAGAAGAAGATTACATTGAGTGAGTCACAGTATTTATAACTCTCTTACTGTGACTTGTAACTGATCTTACTAACTAACTCTATGCTAGGTAGTTACAACTAATTATTTTAGGTCTAAGGCCTAACTCACATCCCAAAAGCTAGCTCAAAGGGAGAAGGATTGCCCAAGCCTTATAAAGAGTCCACCCATCTCATTAACCACTAATGTGAGACTTGTCATTCTAACAATAACCTATTATATCTCTGTAATTTCATCAACAACTCCCTTGTACGATATTAAACAAGACAGTTTTAGTATGGACTCAGCAGTGTCAAATATTTTACCCTTTTTATCCATTGATGGGAAAAATGAGAGACAAATCTAAACCATGGACCATTTTTTTCTTCATCTATAAAATTCACTATTCAATTGATCGTATACGTAATAGATTTTAGTTGTAGCTATCAAGTGAAAAATGTAAAAAATAATAAAATTGTGTGTAAGCACAACAATAAAAATATATACCTGGCAAATGAGATAAATAGGAATCGATGATGCCTATATCGATCTGATCTGTCTTCCATACAAAAAGACACATGACGACCGCTTTGACTGAGAAAACGTGTCATGTTGCCTCCATGCAGTGGTGCCAACAGTTGTAGTAAATACAACACCGCTTCCCCTCTTCATCTCTATCTTTCTGTTTTGCTTTTATTTTATCAAGGATATAAGTGGATAACAATAACTCTTCTTTTGTTTTCTCATACCATTATTATTAAAAGAGTCCAAATCATCAGAGACAATGTTGGTTGAACTAATTCACAAATTTCTCAACTTAGTCGCTCCTCCGGTTTCCTTCTTCAGCTTGCTTCTTTTCTTACCACCTTTTCAATTTTTCAAGTGCGTTCTCTCAATTTTGGGCACACTTTTTAGTGAAGATGTTGCTGGAAAGGTCGTCATCATCACTGGGGCTTCATCTGGCATTGGCGAGGTTCGTTATTTTCAACCATTTTACTCGTTTTAATGTATGTGATATAGTTTGATTTCAAAAAAAATACATGGAAATGGAAATGTGAGTAATAAATAATACATGGATTTTTATGTTAGGATCACCTAACTTTTCTCGGGCATGGGGGATTAGTACTTATATATTATAACTTGTTGATTAATCTTCTTTTTTACATAAACGAAAAAACTCTAGTGAAGTGGAAAAGGGGCTAAAAATTGAAACCCCTTCTATAGATTTATAATTCCGGCGACAATTTGCAGTATCTGGCATATGAGTACGCCAAAAGAGGAGCATGTTTAACCCTTGCAGCCAGAAGAGAAAGGAGTTTGAATGAAGTGGCCGAAGGGGCACGTGAACTAGGCTCACCAGATGTTATAACAATTCAAGCTGATGTTTCGAAAGCCGAAGACTGTAGAAGGATTGTTGATCAAACCATGAGTCACTTTGGCCGATGTCAGTTTTAATTCGTTTGAATATTCTCGTGTTTATAAGTTTTTTTAATAGAATGATTAATCATGTTTTATGTAACTCTTTTTGTTGCATGTGTTATTAATGCAGTGGACCATCTGGTTAATAATGCTGGAGTGCACGCGATTGCTCTATTCGAAGATACAGAAGATGTCACTGATTTTAAATCTGTCATGGTAAAGTGGAAATTGATTTTGATTGTTACGTATAAGCGGGCAGTTTGAAGTTTTATCACAATAAAAACTTACCTTTGGCAAATGTTAATGATACCGGTGACAAATAAGTTTACTAGTTCTATGTACTTTCATTGTGTTGAGCTAGAACAGAAGCTTTAATTTGGGTCTGGACTACCCGTGGAATACCGAATTTAAACCTGGATGAATGCTAACAAGAGATTGAGTTGGCCATCTGATAGAGTTTGTCGTTCTTAGTCAATTTCATAGTTGATGACTCGATGTATATTAATCGGTTGTATTAGGTTATATGTTGAGTTTTTAGGTTACTAAATCAGGATTGACTCGCATTTACCTAGTGTTATATGTGATTTTAACTTGATGCAGAAAATTTGTGCACTACTCGTGGACTAAAGTTATAGTAATTGTTATTTACATGTTTCTGTATTTCGCAGGACATCAACTTCTGGGGTTCTGTTTACATGACCCGCTTTGCGATTCCATATCTTAGGTATAGTGGGGGAAGGATCATTGTGCTTTCTTCATCTGCTTCTTGGCTGCCTGTTCCAAGATCAAGCTTTTACAATGTAAGTAGCTAATTATAAACTTAACTGCTTTTATTTTTCCAGTGGAAACGGTAACATTTTTTCTTGATGACCCTATTGAAAATTTTGTCATGGCAGGCAAGCAAAGCAGCAGTATCTCAATTCTTCGAGACGTTAAGAATTGAGTTGGGGCAGGACATCAAGATAACTCTGGTGACGCCTGGCTTTGTTGAATCTGAACTGACGCAAGGCAAATACATCGGTAAGGGTGGCGATGTAGAGGTTGATCAAGGAATGAGGGATGTAAGTTTTCCTCTTTGCTACTAGTTTCTGCATTTAATCTTCATCTGGCTATAGATGGCAACTAGCTTGATATTGACAAGTTACTCAAAATTATACCCTTTCCACGAACAATGCTTTAAGAATATGGTCGTTAAGAATATACTTATGGAAACCAAGCTTAAATACACAGAAAATTGGAATTGGAGTTAACTTATGTCTGAAAAATGACACTGTATAGCTAGTGGCTTGTTGCATCATGCTAAGGTGACTTAAAATAACAGGTACATTGTGTAGCAAATGTAATTAGGTAACATATGAATTTGTAGATAGCCACTATAACAAGTAAAAAGTTGTTGATTGAGTAAACAGTTTTTACACATCGTCTTTGTAAAGAATGTTTACTCGATTTTAGCACCGAGGGACTATGTTTCTTCTCTATTGGTTTGATAACTTGATCGGTTCAGGCTAATGTTTCATCATTTGCTTGATCTACAAAGAAAAGAATTACGTTTGAGCAAGAAAGTGGACATTTTTGTGTGAACTAGGTATTCATAGGCGCGACTCCAGTGGCTAAAGTTGAATCATGTGCCAAGACAATCGTCAATAGTGCTTGCCGAGGCGAAAGATATGTTACAATACCAGCTTGGTTTCGGGTTAGCTACTTGTGGAAGGTGTTTGCCCCCGAGGTGTTAGAATGGATGTATAGGCTGATGCATCTCACCGGAACTTCACCAGAGGATGCACTTAGCAAGAAAGTAGTGGATTATACTGGCGCGCAAAACGTGTTATATCCAGAGACTATCAGGACTGGAGAAACAAAAACTGATTAATGTTCTGATGTAAAAGAGGTTGTAGTTTCATGAGTTGTGTTGTCTCCTGTTTCCTACAAACATGACTTTTTCAATTAGAAAGACCTTTGTATTGTGACTATGAATAAAATTGAGGATGTTTCATTAAATCATACAGTGTGTTTGTTCTCTGAAAATCAACTGGAAGGACACGATGTTATCAAGGTCCCAACAATTGAAGAGTACTGGCCTTTGCAATTACTCTTTATAAGGACAATGCAACTAATTGTGGTCTTATTAATAATATACATCAATTTATAAAGTTAGATTAACATGACATGAATATTTTGGATATATTACTTCTTATTTAGAAATGAGACTTGTAAGGACTAACACTGCATTATTACTCTTGTACAACATGCATACAATTTTGTACATTAACTTTTGACTGCATTAAATTAGTTGTACAACGTGCAAAAAGAATTGTACATTAACTTTTATAAATGACAAATGAGACTTGTAAGGACTAGCACTGCATTATTACTCTTGTACAACATGCATACAATTTTGTACATTAACTTTTGACTGCATTAAATTAGT